TTGCTGGAATGGAGAGGCTGAGACAAGGGCAGCAATAAAATTCAAGAATTCAGCAGGCTGTGGGGCCAATGGGTGGGGACCGTGCATGGTGCCCCAAGGCTGGCTGGCTGCCAGGAAAGTGGAAGAGACTGTGGAAAGTGGGCTAGGGGAGTGAGACACCATCTCGAATTCAGAAAGGATGCTTGGGCTGCTGTGCTACACACACACATATACACACACACTCACAGGAAGTCTGCCTTCCAGCCCCAGCATGGCCACATGCTCCTAGCACTGCATAATTGCATAATTGGGTCTTTTCAGTCTCTGTGCCTCAGGTTCCCAAAGGGAGTTGTGCAGAAAACCATGGAGATGCTGGGGACGGAGACAACTGTGGCAGGAGCCTCGGGGTTCCCTGCAACCACTACACATGTGCTTCCAGGACTGTTTAGTATATGCAGGTTCTCGTGAGTCCCTGCTTGGCCAAATTTTGTAGAGCTAGAGAAAAGCGGGCACATCCCGGACTAAATACTTCCTCGGCCTCTCTTGGTACCATCTCGATCCTCCATAAAAAGGAGCAAAAAGCAGCCGTGGTCTCTCCTGCCACACCAGGCTGGCATTCATTCTGGACACGAGACAGAAAGCAAATGCACAGGTGATCTGGGTACTCCTGCTGCCTGTTTCCCCCTCTCTGGCCCCAGGAGACCCACTGTCTTCTGCTGCACCCACAGTCAGGTGGCTGCCTCGCGGGAAATCAAACTCAAGAGGCCTGAAGGCAGCTGGCAATTTTCCCAGGGTTTTACTGAACCGGGGACCTTGTGTTTGGGGAATGGAATGGGTCTCCCAAGCTGGTGTCATTAGGGCAGAAAAGGGTCATACAAACGTGTTTCCTCAGGACTGTTAATGGAGTCTCAATCCAGGCAAGTCTGCTTGGGCATTAAAGGACAACTGTTCTTCTTCTGCGGATCATCCCAATAGCAAAACAGTCGTGAAAATAAAATCCCACCAGGCTGAGGCTCCCCGGATCCCTCAGCCCTCAGTTTTCATGAGCCGTAGGCACCTGTTTCCAGGTGTGGAAGGCCTGGGGGCTCTGGCCCAGCACAGGGCTTGGTGATCCCAGCTGTGCCTGTCAGGGCTGCATGAAGTGGGCTTTTGCACTTGGTGTGGGGAGAAGTTCAAGCCCAAGGCCCTGTAAAGCAGAAGGCTTGGTTCTAGGGCCTACCTGAGTGTCTCTGCTCTGGCAGTCTGGGGTTGAGAGGTTTAGTGAGGGCCCTGTGGGTTCCAAGTGCTGCCCAGGGTCATCACGCTGACTCACAGACCCCTCCATTCCACAAGCAGCTCACGGCACCTGCATCTTCCATCTGAGGAAGGTTCAGAGAGGAGGTGTGGCTGCAGAATCTCAGGAGAGGCAGGCCCAGCAGCGACACAAAGGCCCCTGAGCCAATGAGACAGCACACATCTAACGGACTTTTATACACAGTGGGCGCACAGTAGCTCCTGCTCCACTCTCCTGTCCCGCACCAAACAGCTGCTGAGACTCCTCCCTCTTTGAGGACTCCACTACCACAGATCTGTCCCAGCTCATGTCGCGTGTGAAGGACGTTTGCATGGACAACCTCACAGGACCCTCCTCTGGGGATTGCTGTCTGCTCAAAGGGAGTGGAAAGTCCTGGAGCGCTCATCACACTTCTGAGAACATGAGTGTCCCAGAGGAAGGCGCACACCCTTGGCACGATGGATGCCGGAGAACGCCTTCGAGAGCCAGAAGTGACGATGCTGCAAATCCTGCCCTGGTGGCAGGCTTGTGCCGGGCAGCTCCAAGTACAACCCTGAGACCACTACCACTGTTCCTGGAGCTCCCCAGCAAGCCGGCGACACTGACCTTTGGTTTTGCCATCTGGCACTCCCTCCACAAGAACGCATTTCCTGGATGCAATCATTTAATTAGCATTTGCCCAGCGCCCTGCATCGAAAGACGATCACACACGCCTTCCCGCCCATGAGAGGGCTGAGTAACCCACAACTTCCCGGTGCCACTTCATCTAAAATGTCTGGGTGACTCACCCTCCCCGAGGGCCCCTCCAGGGCACTTACTTTGAGAAAATATCCATTTGTTCCCCAAGCGAGATGATTCCTCTTTACATGAATTTTAAAGAAACTCCTTGGTGTTCATTTGGTTGTGTTTCCCATGGTTCTTGTTCAGTTTCTGCACGGGATCTGCATCATCTCTGTGCAGCACTCTTGACCCTGGCCCGCAGGGCAGCACTCAGCAGTCGGAACATGGGGCCTTCGAGTAGCTCTGCATCAGGGGCCACTTCACGGGGGGCTCCTCCATAGCTGATCTCGGCACTGCCTTTTTGTACTCAGCACTCTAACCCTACCCCCAGATCTGCCACTCATCCTCAGCTGCTATCTCTTACGGGAGCATCCTTTAAGTCACACCAATTTCCCAGCATCCTCCACCAGGAACCCCAGCTCAGCCCCACCTTGAAAGCCTGTCCCATGCCTGTGATGCTCCCCCAGCCCCATCCGAATCCCCTCCCTTGCTTGATCCTGAACCACACCCCCTACCCAGTTCTCGATGCACCCTGGGCCTGAATCACAAACATTGGCTATGGCAAATCCCATGCCCTGCTTCCCAGATAACTTCTCCTTCACAGCCATAAGCTGACAGGCACACAGATAACAAGCGGGATATGCAGTTATTAAGGGCAGATTTTAAAATGACAAAAGGAGACGTTTAAAATAAAACCCTCTTGAAAATCAGCTTCCATTGCAACTCAATCACACACAGACCTCCTGCTCAGAAGCTCCTCAAACTGGAGATTCTGGCTCCTATTGGCTTCGGGGGTTTTGAGGACTGTTGCCTTGGCAACAAGGAAGGCCCAGACACCTGAGACAGGAAGTGGAGGCCACTGCAGCTGCCCTTCTCAGGCACCTGGAGTGGGCAGTCTGGGGCCAGGCAAGGGGCTTGGGTGTCAGAAATGAGGCAAAGGAAACTCCCCCACCCCACCCCACCCCAGCCAACATCCATGGGAACCTTGCAGTTAAAGCCGAGCTTCATGAAGCAGGTGGGCAGCAGGGAAGGAGCCAGTGGGCAAGGCCTGATTGTCCCTAACCCTGGAGGAACACTCAGGGATGCAGGCAGTGCCCATGTACCGTGGCAGATGGGAATGGTCACTTCAGCAGGGTGCTGCACTCTGCAAGCTCCTTACTCTCCTCAGTGGTGGACAGAACTCCTCTCTGCACTGGCTTCCCTTGACCAGGTGGGAGTCCCAGTGCAAGCTGATTTCTCTTGCAGAGATGACTCTGTCCAATGCTGGCCACCCATCTGCAGCCCACAGCCCGAGCTGCAAGCTTTGGGCATCCCTAGAAGGCATCACAGGCCAACCCGGACTTCCACTGACAGAGTAGGACCCCTGGCGATGATGCCACCCATGCAGTGCTGAGTTCTGAAATGTCATTGACCCTTGTGTGTCAGCATTTGTACCGCAGCCAATTACTGAACCTCCTAGCACTTACACGATCAACCTACAACTCTGTCTTCCAGTACATGATGAGCTGGGTGTTCCCCACCTGCCCCATCACACAGGGGCCTGGTGATTCCAGCCCCTCCCTTGGGAGCCAGTCCCCTGCCTCTGACATCACCGATGAGCCTTGCACACTCTTTTTGCTCTACAGCTCTCACCAGCTCCATACACACCTCCTTTGGCCCTGGTCCTCCAGGAGCAAACCAAGGAAGTCTCCCAACTGGACTCTCAATACCCAATGTCACTTAACCCTTGCCTGCCCCTCCACTGCCCCTGTCCAAGCCAGGAGGCCAGGCTATGGGGCTCTTGATGAGCATCTCCAGTCCCTGCTGGGAGCTCATTGCTTTCAAGCTTACATCTCCCAGGTATTGCCATTAGTGAAGACATCATCCTCCCAAGGGTGTAGAAATGTGTGTGTGTGTGTATGTGTGTGTGTGTGTGTGTGAGAGAGAGAGAGAGAGAGAGAGAGACAGACAGAGAGACAAAGAGAGCATGAGTGTGGGACTACATGACCCTGTGCCTGCACATGTGTCAACCAGTGAATGTTTTCATTCTTTCCTGAGAAGCTGGAATCCCTGTGGACCATTTAGACCATGAACACTCTGTCTCTAGCCCTGACACACATATGGTCCTCCTGCATCCAAGCCAGCTGCGTTGGCCAGGCCCTGGGTGGCAGCCACAGCTCCCACCTGTACAGAACTATGGGTCCACAATGGCTTGCCGTGAGAGTGACCAGCCCATCTGATGTCAATGTTTGGATGATTACCCCAGCCCCTTGCTTGCCATGTGGACCTGCTGGTCCCCGATCTTACTGACTTTGGCATCACAGTCCTCCCCTCTGGGATGTGGGGGAGGGTCCCCACTCTGAGTTAAAGGCCACTTAATGATATTGTTGATACTGAACAAACTGTCCTTCAGCTCCAAGAGGAAAAACAAGAGGCAACATTTCACACTGCCCAGTCTGCCACCTGCATCAGCATCCAGTTAGAGCCGGGCCTCACCTGAGTTACTCAGCAAGCCCATTCCTCACTTCCTCATGGCTCCAGCACTCCCACCTCCCACCCTCCTTGCTGTCCAGTGTTCCATCTGTGGCCCTGTCTCATCCTTGGATCTGGAGGAAGCTCTGGCTGTAACCTCTGTCTCCTGCTTCAGCCATGATTCATACTCGCTCTCCACTCTGTGCTGATTCCACCACACTGGGGAATCACACTGCCCCTTCCAGCTTCCAGGCGGCCCTACTGGTTCAGGGAGCAGGGCCTAGTTGCTACCAGGGGCCCTTGCTGTACTCAGAGAGTGCATGAGCAATGCTGTTTATTTAGAAACATCTCTGCTTCCTCTCCAGGATGCCCCATAACGCCAGCCTCAACACCATGAGTGGCAGAGGGGATTTCTGTTCCAGCTCCCACTTGCTGGGGATGCAGGGCCCACACAGCTTTCACTGTCTTCGATGGTACTGCAGTAGGAAGATTGGGAGGCAGGGAGCCTCTAGGTTACCTTGCGCATGTCTTTGCCAAATGTCTCGCTATAGGTCGTGCCCAGGATTTCAAACTGGACGTAGGGATTCGAGCTGTCCTCGCGAAACTCCATCACCCCTGTGAGTCCAGTGATGTGGCCCTGCAGGAGACAAGGACAGATCACTGAAGGGTGGGCAGTCTCAAAGGTTAGGAAGCACAAAGAATGCAGCCACCAAGACAGGGCCTGGAGGAGGGCAGCCTGTAACAAGAACAGAGTCTTTTGCAGACCTGGGCCATGGAACAGAATCAGTACTTCCCAGGCCACCTGCTTGCAGGGGACATCCCCAAAGACTTGTCTTCATGTTGTTCACGTTGTCATATGTGAGAAGACCCCGCTATGAGCCAAGCACTGTGCAGGACTGACAGCTTGAGTCCCGACTTTCCTGAGTGTTAATGCTTTCTTGCAACCTGATCCATGGACTCCATTTTGCAAGAGGAAGTCACAGGGCAACGAGAACCCACAGGTCAGGACTCTGGGGGTGAAGACCAAGAGCCCACAGGTCAGAAGCATGAGTGTGGGAAGGGAAAGCCCAGCTCTAGTCCACCAGGCATTGCCACCTGGGCCACGTTGGCCAAGTCATTGTCCATCTGCCCGCTCCAGGCTGAAGTCAGTCAGGCTCATATGATAGAGCCTGTGGGAACTGAAGGAGAAACCACATCCAAAACCCAGTGTCTGACACAGCCTGGCTGTCATGAACTGCCCCCCTTGCCTTTGCTCCCAAAGCGGTAACAGGCAGTGGTGGTTTAGTGAGCTGGGGCAGGCCTCTTCTCTCCTCAAGCCTGGGGAGGGGGCTTCAGCAGCCTCCCTTCTGTGAGCCTGGAGAGTTCCAGAGATTGCGCTGGCCCAGGAAGAGGCCTGGGCTCTGCTGTGGGCTGTAGTAGATTCAAACCAACATCAGAACCTGCTCTCTGCTACTGAAACCACACACAGTGTATGGTGAACAAAAACTCCAAACACTATGGATTTCCCTAAATGCTCCTCTGAAGCCTCAGAAAGCCAATTCGCTCAAACACGTCTTGCATGGATTTCTGAGTTCACTTTATATCCAGGCTCCAGCACATGGGGCATTTCACTAGTATAGAGGACACACACACACACACACACATGCACATACACCAAGGACCTATGGCAGGGCCCAGTGAAACTACCTCTCCTATGCAGAGAGGCACCCTGTGTGGAGGGGTGTCTGACAGGCACCACACAGAGAGCTGCCTTCAGAGTCTGCTTACCCATAACCTTGGCAAGCTCCTACATCTCCCTGAAGCCCAAGCTCCTCATGTTTGTGGGGAGCAATAATAAGAACAACACTATCCATGGGCCCCAGCTCAACCAGCCTTCAAATGCTACAACAGAAGGACTGATCAGAAGAGAGGCCTGGGAAGGCCCCTCCTGGGATAGCCACCCAGAGGACCCAGCTTCAGGCTGGCTGCAGGACGGGCAAAGACTTGGGGGTGTGAGGAGTGGCCCTGGCTCCCACCTTGGTCTGGAAAGGTGTACCCATGCACACACCTTTTTGATGGTGTCCAGCATGGACCTCCCTCCGTTCCACGGCTTGGTGGACTTCCGTATGCAGTTGAGACTCGCCATGCTGTGCCACTTCCGGTCCTCCAACTTCCTGTGAAAGGCGTTGGCCAGCATCAGAACACTGTCATACAGGTAGAGGTTGGAGATCTGCAAAGACAGAGGAAATGAAATGCCTTCGGCTCATGCGTTCCCAGAGATGGGGAGAAACCAGCAGAAAGCTGGGGTGGTGCAGGACACCGACCCTAAGAAACGGTCCCCAGCACTGAGGTGTGGCTTCCAGGTGTTCATTCGACAGCCCAGGCAGGTGCTGAGATGCTGAGTAGGATAAGGCTTATCCCTGCATCAGGTATGAGAGTGGGAGGTGGATTTGTACAACCTGAGGGAGACCAGCAAGATGAGCACCATGACTGAGACATGCACCTGGGCAGATGACCTGCTCAGGTGATGAGGGATGAGCAGTATAAAGAGGGCCCAGCATTTGCATCAAGGTGCAAAGGGGCAGGGCCACTTAGGGCAGCATCTACCAAAGTTTCCATTAAAGAACCAGGTAGTAAAGACTTGGGTGCTGCTGTCTCTGTTGTAATCACTCAACTCTATTGTTAGTAACCTGACAGCATCCTGGATAAGACATGAAGGGGTAAGCACAGCCATGTGTAATAAGATGCTATTTATCAAAATGGCCTGTGTGCTGGGTGCACCCCCATGGCCTCAGTTGGCCAAACTCTGGGTCAGAGGAACTGAAGGCAGTTCAAGATCAAGACTGTCAACAGGTAGAGCAGAAGGGATGGGCAGGATCCACAGGCAGGCAGGGCCAGGGCCAGGCAGAGCCATGGGGGTGGGGGCTGTGTGCTGAGGACTAATAAGGTGACTTCAGGAAGAAGGTCGCCACTGGTGGGTCTGTGCCCAAACAGCTGATGATCAACCTGGCCTCAGAAAAGACCATTCTGGAACCCCAGAAGCAGCTCTGGGCTCCTGGCTTTGGCTGGGCCCAACCCTGGCCATTGCAGCCATTTGGGGAGTGAGCCAGTGGATGGACAATCTCTCTCTCTCTCTTTTTCTGTCTCTCCTTCCCTCTGTGTAACTCTGCTTTTCAAATAAATAAATAAATCTTAAATAAAAGACCACTCTGGTCTCAGGATGGGCCGAGGAGGAGAAGCTGGAAGAATGCTTGCAGAGCAACCCTCCTGTGCATCCGGGGGTGACTGCGATGGAAGACTCCTGTCTGGAGGGGTAGGAAGGCCTACACCTGCCTGCTCATGGCTCAGCAAGAGCCTAGCAAGGAGGAGGGCGCACTTGTTCCCAGATGTCACCTTCACGCCATCTCAGCCCTCAAGGAGGCATCGGAGGAGGAGGGAGTGGCCTGGGAGAGTTAACGTCCACCCACGGTCAGGTTAGGGCCCCTTGTTTCTAACTGTTGCATAGACAATGGCCAGCAAAGTGGGTCACAGGGACCAGTCTCTGAACACCTGAGCAGCAAGGAGCCTGCTAAAAATATTTCAGGAAAACAAAACCCACCGGATAGAAACAGGAGACTATGTCAGCCTCATAGGAGGCCTGGGAAGATCAAATACGCTCCTTGGAATACAAGAAGTCTCCCCTTCTGCTCCCACCTCTCCTTCCTCAATGTGTTCCCTTGCCCCCTACACCTCCATGCCTCCGTCTCTGCCTACACTTCCATCCCCACGCGTCTTACTCTGGATGCTGCAGGCAAGAACGTGGTGGTGGAACTCATCCCCCACAACTGAAGCTGCAGTCAGGGTGGGAGGGGGAGCACAGGACGGGGCACAGGACATCAGACACATGGGCTCTGCCCTGTCCATCCAGTCGCTCATGCTAGCCCTCCAGAGCCATTTCCACAGGGGCACATCCAAGCAGAGCCGACCGCTTTCCCTGGAAGTCTCCTCATGGGCAGGACATGGCTAAAGAGCTGTGTCCCATCTGTCACTGTCCTGTGCTCTTGCTGTGCCTGCTGCAAGTGTGAGAAGTGGGTGGAGGGTGGGTCGATGCTCAGGAGGTGGCCAGATCTTGCCTGGGTGACTGACCACAGCTCACCGAAACATGGGAAGCAGCAAAAGCAGTGACTGGGCTCATCCTTGTCAGGTGTCAACTAACAACAGAGAGGAAGTGTTCCCACCAACAGGCACCCACTCCCTGTCTGCATCATGACAGAATCGTGTCCTGGCCCCCTTAGGGTGGGAGACTCATTCGCCTCAGGGAGCAGGGATGGCCTGTGCCCTGCCCCTCCCTGCTCCCCCCAGTGCTTGGGAGCCCCCACTGATGCACAGCTGCCTTCCCTCTCTGGAACACAAGCAGAATGGAGCTTTCAGTAGAAGGGAATACGAACCACTAAGAGGTAGCTTTGGCTTTCTTTTCTCCCAAAGAATAACTCAATGCTGAGAGTCCTTGACAAAGTGAAGATGTCTGTTCTCAAGATATATGCGGATCTCGCAGGCACCCACTCACTGCGAGGACTATTTATCCAGCCCAGACCTTTCGACCCACTCACACCCCCATTCACGCACTGACCTCTGCTGTGGCCCAGACAAACACCCAACATAAGGTACCTTTTCCCCTCCAGCACTTCTAGCCACAGTGAATTAAGGTACTCAGCAAATGTATGAATGCAGAGAGGAAGCAGCAGAATATGACTAAGAAAGGCCAGAGGAAGCCCTCAGTCCTCCCACAAGTGTGTCTGCTGTAAAGAATGAATGCATTCCAGCTCAGAGGAGCAGGCTGGAGCAATGCTCTTTTCCAAGCACAGATAGACCCTGCTCACCACCACCCCCAGATCTCCCTGAGCACACCCTCTTCTGCGCATGCATTCTGCACTGTCAGTTCATGAATGTGCTTACCTCATCAATTGTTGAGTTCCCTAAGGGCTGTCTCTAGAATCCAGCACCAACCAAGGAACATGGCGAGTGCTTAACATGCATTTGACGAATGAATTCATGGAAGATACACATAATGCAGGAACAGTGGATGGATGGGTGTGTGGGTGGACAGCTGGGTGAGTGGATGGATGAATAAATGGATAGCTAACTAGATATAGACAAATAGACAGATACATGGATAACTGGATGGATGGATGGATGGATGGATGGATGGAAGGACAAAAATGTGAGTGGATGGGTGGGTGAGTGGATGGATGAATAACCAGATAGGTAGGTAAATAGATGAGAGAATGATAGAGGGATGGATGAATAGATAGATATAGGTAGATATATAGATATGTGAGTAGGTGGGTGGATGGATGGATGGACAGACAGATGGATGGTCTGACCTCCTGCTTAGAAGACACACACTAACTGTATTTCACAACAACAAAAATATACAAAACAGACAGGAAGAAGAAAAGATTGACTGCCTCAAACTTTGACTTGGGTGGAAGACTCCTTTTCCGAAACAGCAATTAGCTTCTCATCAGAGCCTACTTGAAAAGCCTTCTAGCTCCTCATTGGAACTTTTTCTATCTACTCTACTCACCCCTTCTCCTTCTCCTTCTCCTTCTCCTTCTCCTTCTCCTTCTCCTTCTCCTTCTCCTGGTAATACACTGTCTCCATATTTGTCCCTGCCTTGGGCAGAAGCTAAGAGTCAGTGTTGATCTGTGGATCTGCCTTTGGCCCCCAACCTCAGCATCATCACTTAGGTAACCTACTTTGTGCATTCTGACTTTGGCTTATGGTTCACTGGTGGAGATGCAGCAGGTGGGGATGGCATTGCCTTCACAATCCGGTTGTCTGGGGAAAAGCTGCTGTGGGGATGAGATCAAGAGAAGATGGGAGAATGGCTCTCTAGACCCTCTCCATAGCCTGGTAAACTTAAGGCTTTCCTTAGGGCAGGTGGATGAATACAGTGTCAGAGCTTGGTCATACCAAGCCCCCAAGACAGTAGGGGTGGTCTTGAAGGAGAGAGGGCCCCAGCTGCAAGAATACTCACTCATCACCTGTCACAAAGAGTCAACAGCTTAGGCTGGGGTCATGGACCACAGGGAGAGAAAGGAGCCTGGCCTGAAGGAGTCTTGCCTCCCTCCTTCCCATCTCAGATAAGACACAGCATATAGCTCATGAGCAAAGATCAGCCAGACAGGGCAGATACTGTCTAGTTAAACCTCAGCCCATGAAAATGAGAGCCAGGGATAGGACCACCTGGGAACAGTGCTGCACAAAGTGAGAGGAGGGAAACGTGCCTCTTCCCAGGTCAGAGTCAAGTTGAAAACCAAAAGAGAAGTCAAAGTGTCAAGGCCAAGGGCTTTGACTGCAAAGCAAGACTTAGAACCAAGTCAGAGACACCAGGAGTGAAGTCAGGGGAAGAGGAAAGGGGCAAGGGTCTTTCTGGGAGCCTGTGGGCTCTGTGCTAAGTGAGGAGAGAGCTGGCTGGTTCACTTGGCCACTCCAGAGACATATGCCAGCTTGTAAGTCCAGTTCCCCTCTCACTCTTTATGATACAGTATGACTCACACTGCCATACATGCAGCATAGGAGGGTGGCCCAAGAGCTTTGCCAGCCTTGCTCCCTGGAGGACCCCCAGTGCATGGATACAGCACACACTGAGTCAGTGTTCACTGAATGGGTGAGTTACATCTCCTGCGCCTACTTGTTTAGTGACCCTGAGCAAGCCATTGAAGACTCTCAGACTTATCACAGCAAAACACAGTGTGACCAGGGCCCTGGGAAGGCGCAGACAGCAGCCCTGGTTTACTGCCCCTGTGAATTGCAAATGACACATTGTCATTTTTGGAGAGAGCAGAGCTAGAAAGGAATGCAAAGGGCAAACAACAGACCTAAGCGGCCCCTGACTTCAGAGTGGGTGAGCCGAGGGCTTATCGGGGAAGTCCGCATGGGTGAGGCACACAGAATGTGGAGTTACTGGGAAGATGAACTCAGATCTGGCAACAAGATCTTCTCCCTCTTTCAAAGTGTGCAGGAGTCATGTCTGGATTCTGCAGCTTGTGGATCAGAAGGCTGACAAAGAAGCCATGCTAAGCACTAATCCCCAACTCTATGTGCAGTCTGCTCACCTGGACACCTGGGCATGCGTCCCTGGCCCCCTCCCAGTCCCAGCACAAAGCCACAGCTGTCACTGGTCCCGGGTTTGTCAGGGCTGCACACCCTCAGGTGCCATGGGGCTGCCCTTTGATGGGAAGGTGA